TATTTTATTTATTTCTATATATTTTTTATCATTGGGCCATTACGGGTTGGTGCCCTGGGCCCGTGTGTATTTGACACACGCAACACACCCGGTTATTGCGGCACTGATCCCGAAGCTACATTAAATTTACCAAATAAATAAATACTTCCAACAAAGTTTTTCATTTCACGGGCGATGGTGATATTACTGATACTGTATTTACACATTGTCTCGATTCCAGTAGAAGCTACAAAATATAATACCAATAAAAAAAATATATTCATTATATTATTTTATTGTACTGCAGACGTTTGGAAATAATTAATGTTTTTGATTTTATTGAAATGTTGTCGTGTATATAGTTGTAAAATGACGCACGCTTCGCTCACGGATGAAGAAAGGCAATCTATAGGCATTCACGATAATCTCATCCGATTATCGATTGGTTTGGAATACTACCAGGACTTGATCGACGACTTAGAACAAGCAATTCAAGCTAGCGGAGCCAAAGATAAATATGTTAACGTATAAAACAAAATTCTTAATAGATATTTCATTATATTATGTAATATAATATAAAAATTAAATTAAAATTATATTAACCGATTAACAACTAGCGTAATTTGACACAAATAAAATATTATTTTAATTTAAGCGTAATTATTTTTTAACAGAAGCTTTAAGTGCTTGATCGAGATCAGCAATTAAATCTTCTTCGGATTCTAATCCCACGGACAAACGGATTAAATTGTCCGTAATATTTAATGCTGCTCGTTCGTCTTCAGGAACTGAAGCATGAGTCATAAGTGCTCTGAAAAAATAATGAATTGTATACATAAGTATAGTTGAAAACAATTCTAAGTATTTTTTTTTACAATAGGTATAATAAACTACAAGTGGTTGTCTACTTAAGTTATGAATGTTATAATAACGTTGCATATAGAGGGTAAATCATCATCATGTAAAGAGTTTTTAAGATTTTTTTTTTTTAGAGTAACATCAAAAAGCATAATTTTTAAAATTACAATGCTGCAACGAGGTATTATACAAWCCATATACATGACAAATAACGATTAATTGAAAAATATTATATTTTGAAATTTGTCGAAGCATCTGAATAACATATTTGAAAAGTATCCATATCGAATTGGTAGTTAAAATAAAATAAAAATATGTACTTTAAGTCTTTGTGACATGATATTAATGCATTCGTGAGTGTGAAACTTTATAAAGAAAATTTTATCATGGAACAGAATCTATTTTTGGTTAAGTGGGAAGGGGTGTAAATTATAATCTCTCATAATTTATAATTTAATTTATTTAAATTGTTCTATGTATAGGTTTCAAAAAAAAAAAAAAATAATAATAATAATAATAAAATGTACCTATATATTTATTTAGCCACCTATACGTTGTCTCTTTGCCAACATTTTTACAGAATATTTGAAATTTTTTTAATGAGTAGAATTATTCAAAATGTATATTCTATACTTATAGTTAAAATAAATTTGATAGATTTTGCGACTTATGCGAACTAAAACTTTTGCTTCCAAATTCATAAAAACTGTAATGATATGTCACTGCAGTGCCACCTTCAGAGCATAATATATATTATRTACAAAACAAACAAGTTACTCCTTCTGCTCTCCCTCTCACTCACCTGCACCGTTGAATAYTTCTGAACCTAACCCTGCTGCAGGCGTAGATATAAAATATGTAAAATAGGTTAACTTACGGATGATCGGCCAGACTCTCGAAGCCGCCGAGACTTTCAGCTAAGCAAAACACTTTGATGGCTTGTAAAAATCTAGTGGCTTCCCCGATACCGCCTCTGATGTAAAACGACAACATTCCGCTGAAACCACTGGCCTGTTTTAAAGCCACCTTGTGTTGGGGATGCGACGGCAAACCCGGATGAAGCACTTTTTCGACGAGCGGATGCTGTTCCAGGAACTTGGCCACGGCTAATCCGTTCTTCATGTGCTCMTTCATGCGGACGTGCAGGGTTTTCAGACCGCGGTTGACCAGGTAACAGTCGAAAGGCGACGACATGATACCGCACGCTGTTGAAAATGGCAGAGGCAATTATCAATAAACGGCTGCATCCGAGTTGGGTCCCAAATTTAAAATTGCTACACTAGTTGGTTCCTGAATTATTTTAGGTACTACACTAGTTCGGTTCTGAATTATTTTTGCTACAACATTAGTTCTTGAATATTTTTTGGTAAGTACTGCACTATATTAACATTTTCCTTCCCATTTTAATAGACTTAAGACTGTCTATTATCTATTTAGACCACAGGCATGGTTAAAAATGTTTTTACAGTTTTTTTTTTTTGTTTTTTTCTTTTCCATTAAAATATAAGTTATTAGAATTTTATAAAAAATCAACTTCACAAAAGCAATTTTGTGTTGGTAAAAATATCAAAAATGCTAAAAACCAAGTATAAAAATACATATTATATAATAAAAAATATAGTCATATCGGTGTAAGTGAAAAAATATTAAAAATGTTAAAATAATTATATAATATAAATACAAATAAAATAATATTTTTTGAAAAATCACATGTGTGTTGGTAAAAATGTATACGACATTAATTTTACAAAATCAAATCGATTGATTATTCCTGCAATTTTTT